GTATTAGGTTAGACTGTCTATGATAAACTTCTCTTTAGTTTATATGTATACTGAACAAAAATATAAACACAACATTCAACAATTTCTAAGATTTTACTGAGTTACAGTTCATATAAGGAAATCAGTCAAATTTAAATAAATTCGTTAGGCCCTAATCTATGAATTTCACATGAATGGGAATACAGATAAGCATCTGTTGTTCACAGATACCTTAAAAAAAAAGTAGGAGTGTGGATCAGAAAACCAGTCAGTATCTGGTGTGATCTCCATTTGCCTCATGCAGCGCGACACATATCCTTCGCATCAGGCTGTTGATTGTGGCCTGTGGAATGTTGTCCCACTCCTCTTTAATGGCTGTGTGAAGTTTCTGGATATAGTCGGGAACTGGAACACGCTGTTGTACATGTCGATCCAGAGCATCCCAAACATGCTCAATGCGTGACATGTCTGGTGAGTATGCAGACCATGGAAGAACTGGTACATTTTCAGCTTCCAGGAATTGTGTACAGATCCTTGCGACATGGGGCCGTGCATTATCATGCTGAAACATGAGGTGATGGCGGCAGATGAATGGCACGACAATGGGCCTAAGGATCTCGTCTCGGTATCTCTGTGAATTCAAATTGCCATAGATAGAATGCAGTTGTGTTCATTGTCCGTAGCTTATGCCTGCCCATACCATAACCCCACCATGGGGCACTCTGTTCACAACATTGACATCAGCAAACTGCTCGCCCACACGACGCCATACACGTGGTCTGCAGTTGTGAGGCCGGTTGGACGTACTGCCAAATTCTCTTAAACAACATTGGAGGTGGCTTATGGTAGAGAAATGAACATTCAATTCTCTGGCAACAGCTTTGGTGGACATTCCTGCAGTCAGCATGCCAATTGCACGCTCCCTCAAAACTTTAGCCATCTGTGGCATTGTGTTGTGTGACAAAACTGCACATTTTAGAGTGGCCTTTTATTGTCCCCAGCACAAGGTGCACATGTGTAACGATCATGCTGTTTAATCAGCTTCTTGATATGCCATACCTGTCAGGTGGATGGATTATCTTGGCAAAGGAGAAATGCTCACTAACAGGGATGTAAATACATTTGTGCACCAAATTTGAGAGAAATCAGCTTTTTGTGCGTACGGAAAATGTCCCCATGTAAAGACATAGTTAAGAGGGACTACGTAATCAGAAAGGGGTGAAGAATAGAAAGTGAAGTGATTAAAAAACATCTGAAATAAATAAACCAAAGATCAAGTGCAATATCAACGTTTTATTTTGAATATGTATTATAGAGGAACAGTAGTACAATTGAAACAGAAAAAAAGAGAATGTATTCATTTTTGAAAACCTTGAAAAAAAAAAAATGAAAAAAATAGTAACCTGACTTGTTTTGTGTTTAGGGTTGAGCCCAGGAAAGGCCCGTTGGTTTTGCATCGCTGTAGTTTGAAAAGAGAGTTGAAAAATACACCTTTTAAAACATCTTTAAAAAAATACAGCCGGAAAAAAACCCATGTTTCTGTATCTGTAGTAGTGTTTTACTTGTTTTGTCCATTTCAGTACAGCATAATAAAATCTAAAACACTACGTCACCTTGAGATCATCCATTGTACAGTAAAAGAGAAACAGGGTGGTTTGATGGAAAAGCACAGGTGTGAACAGTTACGAGTGGAAGGTTAGGGACGTGTTCATTAGGGCACACCGTATTGGACAAGCCTTCTGAAGGCAACCCAGTAGGACAAGACACAACACCAGGCCAAGGTTTTAAACAAGCTAACTGCAGCTGAGTGTGTTCCATTAAGTAAAATCAAGTAGTTAAATATTTATTTTTCCATTAATATAGAATCCCTCCCAGTTATTTGAAGGTAAATCATATTTTACGAACATGGATGAGGATCTTTCTATAGGAGCTTTCTTTAAAAAATACATTTGCATTTGGAGTACAGGGAGAGTACAGGGAGATCAAACATTTCTGTATAATTATAGCACTTCAATATATCCACTGCATATGGACAAACTGCTGTTCCTAGGTTTTAACCTGCAAACAATCCATATTTATTTCAATTAAATAAAAAAGGAAAAGAAAATACATCATAAAGGACAAATAAAACTATATATAGTTGAAGTGGGAAGTTTACATACACTTAGGTAATTAAAACTCGTTTTTCAACCACTCCACACATTTCTTGTTAACAAACTATAGTTTTCGGTTAGGACATCTACTTTGTGCATGACACAAGTAATTTTTCCAACAATTGTTGACAGATTATTTCACTGTATCACAATTCCAGTGGGTCAGAAGTTTACATACACTAAGTTGACTGTGCCTTTAAACAGCTTGAAAAATTCCAGAAAATGATGTCATGGCTTTAGAAGCTTCTGATAGGCTAATTGACATCATTTGAGTCAATTGGAGGTGTACCTGTGGATGTATTTCAAGGCCTACCTTCAAACTCAGTGCCTCTTTGCTTGACATCATGGGAAAATCAAAAGAAATCAGCCAAGACCTCAGACATTTTTTTTTGTAGACCTCAACAAGTCTGGTTCATCCTTGGGAGGGACTGGTGCACTTCATAAAATAGATGGCATCATGAGGAAGGAAAATGATGTGGATATATTGAAGCAACATCTCAAAACATCAGTCAGGAAGTTAAAGCTTGGTCGCAAATGGGTCTTCCAAATGGACAATGACCCCAAGCATACTTCCAAAGTTGTGGCAAAATGGCTTAAGGACAACAAAGTCAAGGTATTGGAGTGGCCATCACAAAGCCCTGACCTCAATCCTATAGAACATTTGTGGGCAGAACTGAAAAAGTGTGTGCGAGTAAGGAGGCCTACAAACCTGACTCAGTTACACCAGCTCTGTCATGAGGAATGGGCCAAAATTCACCCAACTTATTGTGGGAAGCTTGTGGAAGGCTACCCGAAACGTTTGACCCAAGTTAAACAATTTAAAGGCAATGCTACCAAATACTAATTGAGTGTATGTAAACTTCTGACCCACTGGGAATGTGATGAAAGAAATAAAAGCTGAAATAAATAATTCTCTCTACTATTATTCTGACATTTCACATTCTTAAAATAAAGTGTTGATCCTAACTGACCTTAGACAGGGAATTATTACTAGGATTAAATGTCAGGAATTGTGAAAAACTGAGTTTAAATGTATTTGGCTAAGGTGTATGTAAACTTCCAACTTCAACTGTATGCATTTAGGGTAAAGTGAAAGTTGTATCTTTTTTTTTCTTTTTTTTTCTGACAATTACATACACAAGCAAGGCTCTGCATACTGTAGAGATTACCTGGCTATCTCAACAATAATTAATAAACAATTTGGTAGGACAAATAGATAGAAATTAACAGTCTTGATTGCATTTCGGAGCCAATATAATAATATCAAATAACAAAACATCTAAGAAAAGGTTCTGCATGGAAGAGAAAAAACTGTTTTCATATAGTTCCATTCAGACCCACTTTGGGGAAGCAAGAAAAGACATTGAAAACAAAATGATTTTCATGAATGCAAAAAAGTAGTAAGTGCATGTCTATTACGCATCATAGATCTTCACTTTATACCGAACTAAGTGTTTTCCTACCTGGCAGACAAAATAAAAATACTTATATCAAATTAAATAAAAACTGATTGTAAAAACTTTAACTTTTCAAAATGGAGTTTCTCTTTCAGACTTCATACGTCACATATAATGATCTATCTGCACTCTTCAAATACTACCTTACACCCAACGTTCAAGTGATTCAAAGTATATAGCTATATATACACACACTGTATATATATATATATATATAGATAGAGAGAGAGAGAGCTATAATATATATAGAGCTATACTATATCAGTACCCAATATAAACCACATATATATATAAAAGGTATATTTTTAACTTAGGTCCCTACATCATGTTTACAAGTACTGCCGGTAGTTCTACAAAATGGTATGTGAGCGTGTGTGTGCATTAAATACAAAAAGACAATGGCAAAGCATACCTGATAGGCGCCGTAGCACAACAGTGTTATATAGATAGCTGATTAATATTCTATAACTGAGTCATTTCAAGCTTTATGATTATAAACATCATATACAGCTGTAGGTCCAGTATTTCGCGACATAAACATTACAGCACCAAACGTTTCCGTCATTTGGCAAAATTCAAGCTTTAAGTGAATGTCAAAATGCTTTATAAAGTGTTACTGTGTGTGGTGCTGTGATTTGTATAAAGCTAGCAAATAACATTTCCCCTCATACTTTCGCTTCCTTTTTTTCTCTCAGTAGTAATTTTGTTTCCTGATAAATCTTGGTGTGCTTTCTGCTTGGCACAATAGCACAGCCCACTTAACTTAAACTCATAAATATGGCTGTGATAAATTAGTCACAAAACAGAATTTTTGGTTCCAAGATTTGTGCAGGGAAAAGATAGACTAGTAATAGGATAAAATCATAATGTTCAGGGCATCTAAACATCAAATCTTCCTGTCGGCAAATAATGCCCTTTCTTTGACGTCTTTCCTTCTAAAAACATGCACCAAGCAATATACTTACAGATTTGACAGAAAGTACAGTCAAAAATTTAAACTGAACTTCTTTGATAGCAGTTTACAACAAAACAGAAAAAAAATTATATCATTGAATAAGACCATAATAACTTTTCATAAATTAAATAATATTTCTTAAGATGATTGGCCTATTGCAACTAAAATCGCTGTACACCCCCAACTCCCCAAAAATAAAATCACCATAAACCTGATTTCAATATTTCATTTTTATCTCTTGCTCTAGTGAGCACTAGGCTCAGAGTCTGACACATAGAATATCTGTACATCTTGGAGTCCTGCTCTACCAAAGCTTCTCTCTTTGTCTCATACACTAAAACCGTGTAAGTAACCTCGAGGTTTGATAGCACTTTGGAGTTGTTGATTGTTTACCAGCTTTATTTTATTTTTTTAAATCGTGAACTATTTTTAGTTTGTTTCTATCTGAGCTAGTCGCTAGTCGTCCTCTGGGGCGGCACCAGTGTCGCCCTCCTCCAAGTTGGTTTGGTCGTTGTCGTTAGGCTCCTCCCCCTCGTCAGGCTCCTCCCCCTCGAAGTCGTCGTCTTCGCGAACGAACCCCTCCAGGGTCTCCAGGCCCTCCTGCGTGGCCTGGTGGGAGTCGGCACAGTCCACACACACGCCGTAGCGCCGTGAGCCGTGCCGTATCCCCACGCTGGCCGCCAGCATGAAGATCTTTTTGCACACCATGCACTTGTACTTTTTGTCCTTCTTGTGCACCTGTAGGGATGGGGGGGGTGGGAGACAAGGGTTAATGCTGCGTTCATGTGCTGTCAGAATAATTATAAACTTGGAAATGAGAAACTCCAGGAAAGATCTTGGAATCATCATAAATACGAAAGTTGAAAACCATAAGTTAAGGCTGAAATATGAATGTGAAACTGACACTCCCCCAATCCAGCTAAAGTCATGGGAGAGACTTCTACATAGAGGAAGGGTGGCGACAGTTACAGAGGAAGGGTGGGGGAGGGAGAGAGAGAGAGGAGTTACTATCTACTTCACTTGCTTTGGCAATGTTAACACACGTTTCCCATGCCAATAAAGCCCTTGAATTGAAATGAGAGAGAGAGAGAGAGAGAAAGAGAGAGAGAGAGAGAAAGAGAGAGAGAAAGAGAGAGAGAAAGAGAGAGAGAAAGAGAGACAGAGAGAGAGACAGAGAGAGAGACAGACAGAGAGAGAAGACAGAAGACAAACAGAGACCGAACGATACTCTCCCAAACAGTACAGATCATAGACATATACAGAGAGAGCGAGAGAAGAGAGATAGAGAGAGAATAGAGAGAGAGAGATAGAGAGAGAGAAGACAGATGACAATAGATACAGAACTAGAACAGAGCAGAACAGATACAGAGAGACAGAGACAGAGACAACACATAGACAGATACAGACAGACAACAGACAGAGAGAGAAGAGAGAACAGAGAAGAGATAGAGATATATAGAGAGAATGAATATCGTAGATGAAGATATGATATATGATAAGAGCTACTTATCTACTCTCTATATCTATCTAATCTAGGATCTCTCTCTCTCTATCTCCTCTCTCTCTCTCTCTCTCTCTCACTCTCTCTATCTCTTCTTTGCCCTGCCCGCTTCACTTTTTGAGTGGGAGTCCATGTCAATGCTGAAATCATATCAGAAGATACTTTTGAGTAAAAAAATTAATGTAAACATTTTGATTTGAGTGTAATACCCCTTTAATTGCGAATTTTGCGACAGAGGATTGTGCTGGTCTAGTGATGCTTTTGCTGCTACATATGTCATGACAGACAAACAAAAGCCCACCCGATTGATGCAAACAATCATGATTGCGCCGGGTATGCTTACTTTGCAGTTAACATTTAATTGAGAAGGTTTTTGGGGAAAGTCTCCACAAGACTGTTATCATGATCCCTAACTGGATACACAAAGTGAATGATAGACAGACAAGCGCGCACGTCACAGACAGACGGGCGATATTGCTGAAAATGTATTGGCAGATATTGTGGTACATTTGGCTTTTTAAGCCAATAGTGGCTAACTAGGGGTGGGATTATGTCAATGTGGATTTGATTGGATAGTAGCCGGGAGCTTGATGTGTCTGATACTTGTGAGAGTTGTTTATGACAGTTTGCTGTGAAACACGTGAAAAATACATGTACTTTCAGAATTGATTGGTGAGCTACTCATAGGTGGGCTGGTAGCCACTGTTAGCTCTCTATTGACCTGTTGGATACTCCTGGTGTAGAGGGACATTACACCAGAGGGACACTACACCAGAGGGACACTACACCAGAGGGACACTACACCAGAGGGACACCACCACACCTCACCCCAACCCCCTCTTTTACGCTGCTGCTACTCTGTTCATTATTTATGCATAGTCACTTTAACTCTACCCACATGAACATATGACCTCAATTACCTCGACTAACCGGTGCCCCCCCCACATTGACTCTGTACCGGTACCCCCTGTATATAGCCTCCCTACTGTTATTTGATTTTACTGCCGCTCTTTAATTATTTGCTATTTTCTACTTATCTATATCTTATTTTTTACTTAACACTTATTTTCTATTTTTAAACTGCATTGTTGGTTAAGGGCTTGTAAGTAAGCATTTCACTGTAAGGTCTACACATGTTGTATTTGGCGCATGTGGCAAATAACATTTGATTTGATATGGTGATATGGGTGTCGGGTCTGACCAGGAAATGAACAGTTAGGGTAGGGTGTAGGGTCCAACCAGGAAATGAACAGTTAGGGTAGGGTCTAACCAGGGAATGAACAGTTAGGGTAGGGTGTGGGGTCTAACCAGGGAATGAACAGTTAGGGTAGGGTGTGGGGTCTAACCAGGGAATGAACAGTTAGGGTAGGGTGTAGGGTCTTACCAGGGAATGTCTCTTGACGTGCTCTCTGTGGGTGAACAGCTAGGGGAGGTACTGGGTGTTTTAGGGAAGGGTGTAGGGCAGGGTGTAGGGTCTTACCAGGGAATGTCTCTTGACGTGCTCTCTGCGGGTGAACAGCTTGCCACAGATGTCGCAGCTGAAGGAGCGGACACCGGAGTGGATGATGAGATGCCTCTTTAGTGTTCTCCGGTGCTTAGCGATGTAGTTACAGTGGGGACACTTCAGCTTATTCAGGGCTATGTCGGACGACTCGCCTGAGAGAAAAACACAGGTTATCAGGCAGGAGGTTGCTTTCTAATCAGTTGACACAGACAATGAAGAGTGGAATTGGGGGCAGTCATTTGTAGAGCCACTCCAGTCTCTGGCGGTGGAGCCCCTTGGTTCTTCCCTTCCCAATAAAAGAGAGGAGGTGTTGGGTGTGGTGGTGGGATGAGGGGTTGTGTGTGTGGTTGAATCCTCAGTGAGAGGATATCATGTTTACTATGGTGTTTATGGGATGGAAAAACACTCACTCAGAAACCGTTAAATACTCAACTGCGTCAGTTGTCATGGCAACACTAATGTCTAGGGTAATAAGTATAATTTGATTTCTCTACCGAAATCTTGTTTTACCATTAGCCCACTGACATAAAACATTCCACATGTGTAGTTAGGAAAGAATATCTAAAAAAAAATGCTGTGCCTCAGCTGCTATTAACATTTCACAAGATGTCAACACACCAGGTTAAAGTGTTCAAATAGTACAGCCTCGATAAGCAATTTACACAATTGTGAAGAAAGATGTTTGACAAATCTAGTATGTGAGAAATGTGTAGTGACGTCATACCACCCTCCTAACATCTAAACCACCTAAGGGACAACTGTAGATGTGACTCTAGTTAAACTATTGATTTGGCTGGCTAGGCTCACGTCACAGACAGCTGAATGATAGGGTCCTGCCTTTGTCTTTGTTTGAGCCAAGACGCACTAAACAAAAGCGTTGTCAAGCAGGCCAGGTCGCCAGGGGGCTGAGGAAAAGCAGGTCACCTGTGCTGTGCTCAACTAGCTACAGTGCTATTCACAACACCATCTTGGGGGATATTTACATTTTAGTCAGTTAGCTCCTATCCAGAGCAACCTACAATACTGTAAGTATTCCGATCATTGATCATCACCATCATATTAACCAGCCACCAAATTAGGTTCACGACATAAGGTTTGAAAACAAAATCTGTCATAAGTATGTGTTTAGTAATATCGAATCAGTGTATATATATATATATATATATATATATATATATATATATATATATATATATATATATATATATATATAGATATATATATATATATATATATATATATATACACACATACACAGTGGGGGAAAAAAAGTATTTAGTCAGCCACCAATTGTGCAAGTTCTCCCACTTAAAAAGATGAGAGAGGCCTGTAATTTTCATCATAGGTACACGTCAACTATGACAGACAAAATGAGAAAAAATAATCCAGAAAATCACATTGTAGGATTTTTTTATGAATTTCTTTGCAAATTATGGTGGAAAATAAGTATTTGGTCAATAACAAAAGTTTCTCAATACTTTGTTATATACCCTTTATTGGCAATGACACAGGTCAAACGTTTTCTGTAAGTCTTCACAAGGTTTTCACACACTGTTGCTGGTATTTTGGCCCATTCCTCCATGCAGATCTCCTCTAGAGCAGTGATGTTTTGGGGCTGTCGCTGGGCAACACAGACTTTCAACTCCCTCCAAAGATTTTCTATGGGGTTGAGATCTGGAGACTGGCTAGGCCACTCCAGGACCTTGAAATGCTTCTTACGAAGCCACTCCTTCATTGCCCGGGCGGTGTGTTTGGGATCATTGTCATGCTGAAAGACCCAACCACGTTTCATCTTCAATGCCCTTGCTGATGGAAGGAGGTTTTCACTCAAAATCTCACGATACATGGCCCCATTCATTCTTTCCTTTACACGGATCAGTCGTCCTGGTCCCTTTGCAGAAAAACAGCCCCAAAGCATGATGTTTCCACCCCCATGCTTCACAGTAGGTATGGTGTTCTTTGGATGCAACTCAGCATTCTTTGTCCTCCAAACACGACGAGTTGAGTTTTTACCAAAAAGTTCTATTTTGGTTTCATCTGACCATATGACATTCTCCCAATCCTCTTCTGGATCATCCAAATGCACTCTAGCAAACTTCAGACGGGCCTGGACATGTACTGGCTTAAGCAGGGGGACACGTCTGGCACTGCAGGATTTGAGTCCCTGGCGGCGTAGTGTGTTACTGATGGTAGGCTTTGTTACTTTGGTCCCAGCTCTCTGCAGGTCATTCACTAGGTCCCCCCGTGTGGTTCTGGGATTTTTGCTCACCGTTCTTGTGATCATTTTGACCCCACGGGGTGAGATCTTGCGTGGAGCCCCAGATCGAGGGAGATTATCAGTGGTCTTGTATGTCTTCCATTTCCTAATAATTGCTCCCACAGTTGATTTCTTCAAACCAAGCTGCTTACCTATTGCAGATTCAGTCTTCCCAGCCTGGTGCAGGTCTACAATTTCGTTTCTGGTGTCCTTTGACAGCTCTTTGGTCTTGGCCATAGTGGAGTTTGGAGTGTGACTGTTTGAGGTTGTGGACAGGTGTCTTTTATACTGATAACAAGTTCAAACAGGTGCCATTAATACAGGTAACGAGTGGAGGACAGAGGAGCCTCTTAAAGAAGAAGTTACAGGTCTGTGAGAGCCAGAAATCTTGCTTGTTTTTAGGTGACCAAATACTTATTTTCCACCATAATTTGCAAATAAATTCATAAAAAATCCTACAATGTGATTTTCTGGATTTATTTTTCTCAATTTGTCTGTCATAGTTGACGTGTACCTATGATGAAAATTACAGGCCTCTCTCATCTTTTTAAGTGGGAGAACTTGCACAATTGGTGGCTGACTAAATACTTTTTTTCCCCCACTGTATATTTGCGCAAAAAAAAAACATATGGGAGATTGGAAGTGATGCAGACAATTACATTGATGGAAGTTACAATCTTTCTGAAATATTAAAGCTGATCTACCCCCTAAAAAAACAAAAAAACAATTGAGATGGTTTGGGATGAGTCGGACAGCAGAGCGAAGGAAAAGCAGCCAACAAGTGCTCAGCATATGTGGGAACTTCTTCAAGACTGTTGGAAAAGCATTCCAGGTGAAGCTGGTTGAGAGAATGCCAAGAGTGTGCAAAGCTGTCATCAAGGCAAAGGTTGGCTATTTGAAGAATCTCCAATATAAAATATATTTTGATTTGTTTAACACCTTTTTGTTTACTACATGATTCCATATGTGTTATTTCATAGTTTTGATGTCTTCACTATTATTCTACAATGTAGAAAATAGTCAAAATAAAGAAAAACCCTTGAATGAGTAGGTGTGTCCAAACTTTGGACTGGAAGTGTATTTCTGAACAGACAATGAGCCAACTACTATACACTATAATCACAGGAGAACACAACCCTTACCATTCTCCCAGGACCCCCCTATAATCACAGGAGAACACAACCCTTACCATTCTCCCAGGACCCCCCTATAATCACAGGAGAACACAACCCTTACCATTCTCCCAGGACCCCCCTATAATCACAGGAGAACACAACCCTTACCATTCTCCCAGGACCCCCCTTGCCGGGACTCTTGTAGGAGGCTGTATTGGATCTGGTTGGCCAGTTCTGTGAGAGGTGAAACAAAGACATGATAAGAGGGAATAAGCTTTGAGGGGGGGGGGGGGGGGGACGTACACAAACACCAGGCCCCACCTATCCCCGGAGTCTTGTTCAGCAGGGCACACCGTCGCAAAACGTTTTAAAACAAAGTTAAAGTTAAAACGAAAATGAGAGTTTCTTATTGGACAAGTCGCTGAGGTAGACCCTCCCTGTTTCTGTCTGACTTCGTTCTTTCCATTTGGTGCCTAATCCCAGATGAACACGACCCTGGTGCCTAATCCCAGATGAACACGACCCTGGTGCTGCCTATGTTCTGTCATCCATTCCCTAGACTGCTGTAAGCAGGACACTTCTTCTAGCCAGGACACTGTTCTGCAGCCTCTCCCACTGGGCTATGGATTAATAAGTGAATGACAGGATGGAGCCCTCAGCCCCTCACTGAGGATCACTGAACAGGCTTAATTAGCCCTAGCTCAGGGCCTGGCCCTCAGAACCTATTGTTAAGTACCTGACCACGGGTCCTATTCTCTGTTCTGTCTGCCTGGGTCAATATTTGGAATGGTGAGGACAGCCCCAGTGCATTAGGGGGGATTAGGGAGGGAGAGAGGGTCAGACCTTAAAAGCTTTGCACCTCCGAGGGATTGAGGGGAGTTATCTATTGTGTGTGCGTGTGCTTGTGTGTATAAAGAGTCAGCAACCATGCAGCCCGCCCTTTTAAACAATCCAACAGCCTTGTTTGGAGAGGAACCAAGACTTTATAGCCATGAATCCAGCAGCTCTGCTATGGTACAGCAGGGGGGGGATGTCCCTGTGGTTCACCTAAAGCATAGCTCCTGTTTTTCCGGTACCAAGCATAAGACAACAGACTGGAAAAGGGAGAGACTATCGAGACCTGTTCAATAAGAAATCTTCATTTTCTGTTGCAAAACGCTGTGCCCTAATGAACATGATCCATGCTGCTACAGTGCTCAGCCATGCTAAACAGCAGCTTCTCCTCATAGTAATCCATACTAGTACAGTTTAGAAGTACTACTACTTTAGAAGGGATTTTCCTCTGATATGCTGAAGAGACTGAGAGAAAGGGAGAGGTCGAAGTGCCAAATTAGGGAATCATATTGTTGCATTAATGATGACACACACATGTTACTGGAAAACCCTCTCTACATTAAAGTGCCCTGAGGAACATGAGCTAAGATCATTTGTGTTGTGTTTAAAGGAGCCTGAGGGAAGAATGTGTCCACTGCTTTCCTTCATTAGGAGTGAAAACCCCCCACTTAATACATGATATCATTCCATACAGCATACCACTTAATGGGGGGCAGAGCTGGGACTGTGTATGTGTGTGTGTGTGTGTGTGTGAGCGTATGTATGTGTGTGTGTGTGTGTGTGTGTGTGTGTGTGTGTGTGTGTGGCTGTGACAGGCTCATAGACTTAGAGATTACCCAGGGTTTCTGTGGTATGGGGCGGCAGGGCGAGGAGAGAAGTGGGCCAGCTTAAAAACGCTGGCCATACTCATATATGCATACCAGGCTGGCTGGCCTTCACTCTGGATCAGACCTGGGTTCAAATACTATTTGACATTTTTCTAACACTTTGAGCATTATCTCAAGCCCGCCTGAAGTGCCAGATGGGCGGGTTTTTGCAGTTTGGGGATTATTTTATTGGTCCATTAAGCCAGGCAAGCTCAATCGAGCACAGATAAAGTATTTGAAATGATTTCAACTAGTTTTTGAACCGCTCTGGGTATGGTGACTATCTGGTCACACTCGCTGCCATCCATAGCTGAGAGAGGCCATGTCAAGTCAGTGTTGGACGTACAGTAGCTAGTTAGTTAGCTCTCTCACTCACTCACTCACTCACTCACTCACTCACTCACTCACTCACTCACTCACTCACTCACTCACTCACTCACTCACTCACTCACTCACTGTGGAACAGGGCTGAATGCTGAACTAACTCAGACTTCTGCAAACTTTAAATGCCATGACTAGAGGCATGGTTGTCATACCATGTCAGACTAGGAACTACATAGAAAATGCTAGGACGTACACATTCACTAAAACAGGCCTGCTGTTTGGTCATCTAAAGAACTGTTGGTCCGTTCATGTGTTGTCTGTGGGGGGGGGGGATTTAGTGCAGTGCATTTGGACAACAAAGTTGTATTGTTTTGAACTGTTGGTCTGACCATTGGCTACCTAAAGATCTGCTGGTGTGAGTGAGAGGAGGGTGTGGTGACGTACCTGCGTTCTCAGAGAGGAAGGAGAAGTCCTCCCTGGGGTAGGAGGCTGAGGGCTGGATGAACATCCCTTCGTCAAACCCTTCCTCCGACTCCGGTGGGATGTTGTAGACGAACCGCCGAGTGATCTGTTTTTTCCTCCGCCCGCTACCCGGCTCCGCCCTCTGATCTTCCCGCTTCACTGCCACCGGCCCGCCCGCCGCCGCCCCGGGAGCCGGCTCGTTCCAGACGAACACCGGCCCCGGAACGCTCGGCGGCTCGTTCTCAGCCGACTCGGACGAGTTCTCGCAGCCCCAGCCGGAGCTCCCCAGGGCGCAGCCCTCCCCCGCAGACACCTCCACATCACTGGGCTCCTCCTTCACGCTGCCTCCCCCTGCCTGGTCCCCATTGTTGACATGACCACTGGCTTTTATCGACAGCTTGGACAGGATGCTGGTGGCCCAGAAGTTACTCCCAGGCTTCTTGTTGGTGCTGCCGTCCGAGCCCACCTGTCCTGCTCCATCTTTGGCCACCGTTCTCCTCTTGTTGTAATCCACCACCACTGAGTCGGGGGCCTCCTGCTTGATGCTGATGTTGAGGGCTTCCTTGATGAACGACCGACATGAGCCCACCACCTCAGTCATCTGGAGGTAGGAGGCCACGGACATCACCTCGATGGCGTTCTGACTGGTCAGCAGGAGGTTACCGCTATACAGGAAGTCCAGGATGACTGAGAACCCCGCCCCGGCCGCCACGTCGAGGTGGGTGACGGTGACTGTGGTCGTCTGGTCACACGACGAGGATGAGTTCTCACTCTTGGTCAGGCAGTAGAGGGTCTTGAAGTAACGGCTCCCGGCCACGAGGATGTTCTTGTGCGCCCGGAACACCTCTCCACTCACCACGATGTTGACGTCACAGAGGATACCTCCTTTGCGTTGTTTGTTGAGTTCCTGCAGCAGCTGGTAGCAGTAAGAGTCCTGGTTGGGTTTGTTGTTCCTGTAGTAGTCTTCTGTCTCCATGTCTGTGCCCTTGGGGGAGTCTTCACAGCCAGGCCGCTCCAGCTCCTGGTAGACAACACACACACACACACACACACACACACGATTATTGGCTAGGGACAGAAAGGACAGGGACAAGGACCGGGGTGCACCTGGCAGGGGTGAAACTGGTCTGACTGGCTCCATAATGGGGAAGGTGAGTTGTGGTGTGGGGTTGCTTTGCCTGGTGGAAACTGGAAATGTAGGAAAGCCTACCACTACTACTCCAAAATAGGTAAATACACTGTCACGAGAGAGTGGCTTGGGTTACGGTTACTCCCAACCTTTCAGATGATGGTGCAGGTCACCTAGATCCAGATTAAGCCTATTTATTCTCTATCAAGATAAATACTATTTTCTTCCCATTTTTTTCTTCTTCTTGCCAACCCTCCCTCCATCCTCCATGGGAGTTTCCCAAGCAGGGCAGCAGGCCAAGTCGGTACGGAGCAGAACACAGCACTAAGTGAACGGTTGCTACACTAACACACTGTCTGCATACATTTCTGCCTCGTTTTTTAAAGAAATTGCATAGCAGATGTCCTAATCCTGAGTAATTTACATTGCTCGAGCCCCCCCCATCCCTATCTGCCTACTCTGACTGACTGGAAGCCCTTGTCCAAGTAGGCAGGATGGGGTTGTAATCAGGAGCAGCAAGGCTCTCTCTTAAATGCCAGCTAATGCTAGATAGAGGGAGAGATGGGGGGGTATAGATAGATAGAGGGAGAGATGGGGGGGTATAGATAGATAGAGGGAGAGATGGGGGGGTATAGTAGATAGAGGGAGAGATGGGGGGTTATAGATAGAGGGAGAGATGGGGGGTTATAGATAGAGGGAGAGATGGGGGGTTATAGATAGAGGGAGAGATGGGGGGTTATCGATAGAGGGAGAGATGGGGGGTTATAGATTAGAGGGAGAGGATGGGGGGGTATGGTACAGATTAGAGGGAGAGATGGGGGGGGGTATTAGATAGAAGGGAGAGATGGGGGGGTGGTAGAGGGAGAGATGGCGGGGGTATAGATAGAAGAGGAGAGATGGGGGGTATAGATAGATAGAGGGAGAGATGGGTGGGTATAGATAGAGGGAGAGATGGGGGGTTATAGATAGAGGGAGAGGATGGGGGGTATAGATAGAGGGAGAGATGGGGGGTATAGATAGAGGGAGAGATGGGGGGGGTAAGATAGAGGGAGAGGAGAGAGATGGGGGGTTATAGATAGAGGGAAGAGATGGGGGGGTTTATAGATGATACGAGGAGAGATGGGGGGTAAGATAGAGGAGGGAGAGATGGGGGGGTATAGATAGAGGGAGAGATGGGGGGGGGGTATAGATAGAGGGCAGAGATGGGGGGGGGTATAGATAGAGGGAGAGATGGGGGGTATAGATAGAGAGGGAGAGATGGGGGGGGTATGGTATAGATAGAGGGAGGATGGGGGGGGCTATCGAGATGGGAGGGGTAGAGATGGGGGTGGGGGGTATAGATAGAGGGAGAGATGGGGGGGTTATGTGGGAGGTGGGGGTATAGATAGAGGGAGAGATGGGGGGGTATAGATAGAGGGAGAGATGGGGGGTATAGATAGAGGGAGAGATGGGGGGTATAGATAGAGGGAGAGATGGGGGGGTATAGATAGAGGGAGAGAGGGGGGGTATAAGATAGAGGGAGAGAAGGGGGGTATAGATAGAGGGAGAGATGGGGGGGGTTTGGGTATAGATAGAGGGGAGAGATGGGGGGGGGGTTAGATAGGGGAGAGATGGGGGGGTATAGATAGGGGAGATGGGGGGTATAGATAGAGGGGAGATGGGGGGTATGATAGAGGGAGAGATGGGGGGTATAGATTAGAGGGAGATGGGGGGTATAGTAGAGGGGAGATGGGGGGTATTAGATAGGGGGAGATGGGGGGGTTATAGATAGAGGGGAGATGGGGGGGTTATGATAGAGGGAGAGTGGGGGTGGGGGTTGATAGATAGAGGGAGAGATGGGGGGTCTAGATAAGGGAGAGATGGGGGGGGTTATAGATAGAGGGAGAGATGGGGGGGGTTAGATAGAGGGGACGAGGGGGGGTTATCGATAGAGGGAGAGATGGGGGGGGTTATGGTTAGATAGAGGGGAGAGATGGGGGGGTTAGATAGAGGAGAGATGGGGGGTTATAGATAGAGGGAGAGATGGGGGGTTTAGTAGGGGAGAGATGGGGGGTTATAGATAGAGGGAGAGATGGGGGGTATTAGTTAGAGGGGAGAGATGGGGGGTATAGATAGAGGGAGAGTGGGGGGTTAGATAGAGGGAGAGATGGGGGGTATACGATAGAGGGAGAAGGATGGGGGGTTGGGGTATAGATAGAGGGAGAGATGGGGGTATAGATAATAGAGGGAGAGATGGGGGGGTGTTCGATAGAGGGAGAGTATGGGGGTATAGATAGAGGGAGAGATGGGGGGCTATTATAGATAGAGGGAGAGATGGGGGGTGTATTATCGATAGACGGGAGAGATGGGGGGGTATTAGATAGAGGGAGAGAAGGGGGATGGGGGGGTATAGATAGAGGGAGAGATGGGGGGGGTATTAGATAGCGGGGAGAGATGGGGGGGGGTATAGATAGCTTTGAGGGAGAGATGTATCTTATTAAATTAAATACTTTTTTCTTTACATAGTTGAATGTGCTGACAACAAAATCACACAAAAATTATCAATGGAAATCAAATTTAATCAACCCATGGAGGTCTGGATTTGGAGTCACCCTCAAAATTAAAGTGGAAAACCACACTACAGGCTGATCCAACTTTGATGTAATGTCCTTAAAACAAGTCAAAATGAGGCTCAGTAGTGTGTGTGGCCTCCACGTGCCTGTATGACCTCCCTACAACGCCTGGGCATGCTCCTGATGAGGTGGTGGATGGTCTCCTGAGGGATCTCCTCCCAGACCTGGACTAAAGCATCCGCCAACTCCTGGACAGTCTGTGGTGCAACGTGGCGTTGGTGGATGGAGCGAGACATGATGTCCCAGATCAATTGGATTCAGGTCTGGGGAACGGGCGGGCCAGTCCATAGCATCAATGCCTTCCTCTTGCAGGAACTGCTGACACACTCCAGCCACATGAGGTCTAGCATTGTCTTGCATTAGGAGGAACCCAGAGCCAACCGCACCAGCATATGGTCTCACAAGGGGTCTGAGGATCTCATCTCGGTACCTAATGGCAGTCAGGCTACCTCTGGCGAGCACATGGAGGGCTGTGCGGCCCCCCAAAGAAATGCCACCCCACACCATGACTGACCCACCGCCAAACCGGTCATGCTGGAGGATGTTGCAGGCAGCAGAACGTTCTCCACGGAGTCTCCAGACTCTGTCACGTCTGTCACATGTGCTCAGTGTGAACCTGCTTTCATCTGTGAAGAGCAAAGGGGTCCAGTGGCGAATTTGCCAATCTTGGTGTTCTCTGGCAAATGCCAAACGTCCTGCACGGTGTTGGGCTGTAAGCACAACCCCCACCTGTGGACGTCGGGCCCTTATACCACCCTCATGGAGTCTGTTTCTGACCGTTTGAGCAGACACATGCACATTTGTGGCCTGCTGGAGGTCATTTTGCAGGGCTCTGGCAGTGCTCTCCTGCTCCTCCTTGCACAAAGGCGGAGGTAGCAGTCCTGCTGCTGGGCTGTTGCCCTCCTACGGCCTCCTCCACGTCTCCTGATGTACTGGCCTGTCTCCTGGTAGCGCCTCCATGCTCTGGACACTACGCTGACAGACACAGCAAACCTTCTTGCCACAGCTCGCATTGATGTGCCATCCTGGATGAACTGCACTACCTGAGCCACTTGTGTGGGTTGTAGACTCCGTCTCATGCTACCACTAGAGTGAAAGCACCGCCAGCATTCAAAAGTGACCAAAACATCAGCCAGGAAGCATAGGAACTGAGAAGTGGTCTGTGGTCACCACTTGCAAAACCAGTCCTTTATTGGGGGTGTCTTGCTAATTGCCTATAATTTCCACTGTTGTCTATTCCATTTGCACAACAGCATGTGAAATGTATTGTCAATCAGTGTTGCTTCCTAATTGGACAGTTTGATTTCACAGAAGTGTGATTGACTTGGAGTTACATTGTGTTGTTTAAGTGTTCCCTTAATTTTTTTTAGCAGTGTATATATATGTACATATATACACACACAGTGCATTCGGAAAGTATTCAGACCTCATTACTTTTTCCACATTGTTACGTTACAGACTTATTCTGAAATGGATTAAATAATTTTTTCCCCCTCATCAATCTACACACAATACCCCATAATGACAAGCGAACATGTTTTTAGAAATGTTTGCAAATGTATTACAAATAAAAAACAGAAATACCTTATTTACATAAGTGTTCAGACCCTTTGCTATGAGACTCGAACCTGTGGCAAATTCAATTGATTGGACATGATTTGGAAAGGCACACACCTGTCTATACAGTGAGGGAAAAAAGTATTTGATCCCCTGCTGATTTTGTACGTTTGCCCACTGACAAATACATGTATCAGTCTATAATTTTAATGGTAGGTTTATTTGAACAGTGAGAGACAGAATAACAACAACAAAATCCAGAAAAACGCATGTCAAAAATGTTATAAATTGATTTGCATTTTAATGAGGGAAATAAGTATTTGACCCCCTCTCAATCAGAAAGATTTCTGGCTCCCAGGTGTCTTTTATACAGGTAACGAGCTGAGATTAAGAGCACACTCTTAAACGGAGTGCTCCTAATCTCAGCTTGTTACCTGTATAAAAGACACCTGTCCACAGAAGCAATCAATCAATCAGATTCCAAACTCTCCACCATGGACAAGACCAAAGAGCTCTCCAAGGATGTCAGGGACAAGATTGTAGACCTACACAAGGCTGGAATGGGCTACAAGACCATCGCCAAGCAGCTTGGTGAGAAGGTGACAACAGTTGGTGCGATTATTCGCAAATGGAAGAAACACAAAAGAACTGTCAATCTCCCTCGGCCTGGGGCTCCATGCAAGATCTCACCTCGTGGAGTTGCAATGATCATGAGAACGGTGAGGAATCAGCCCAGAACTACACGGGAGGATCTTGTCAATGATCTCAAGGCAGCTGGGACCATAGTCACCAAGAAAACAATTGGTAACACACTACGCCGTGAAGGACTGAAATCCTGCAGCG